ATACTTCGAGAAACTAATACTCTAGGTTTATAGATTATTCTAGAGTCTAGTAAAAGGGACACACGGGTAAACTCTGTGGAGGATCTACTGTATCCCGCGGGATTGTACCCCTATAATCCACGTCTGTTGTAAGCAAGTGTTTATGATAGTATAGTATCGTATTAGACAAAGCATTCATCCACAAGTCCTTTGTCATCTTGCATCAATCTGAAATATTCGTACTATGTACACAAACTTCATAACTCAATGTAATAATCACGATCCCTATATCATCACCGTCGTACGGAGTGCCATGACAAAATATCATAGCGAATGATGTGGTATGACTGCACTGAACCTATGCAGTAGCTATGAACACTGTATGCGCATCTCCTCTATGCCCAGCCTATGTCGTAGACCGTAGTTCTCCACTTGTGATCGATCGATTTTTTCCTTAAACGATAATAATATTAATAATAATAATAATATCAGCTAATAATAAGTATGGATAACTATACGATATAGGCTAAGTGAAGAATTATTTGAGGAATGTGTGTGTATATCAAAAAACAATGATGATAGGTACTTACTATAGTTATTACTTATTACACACCTGTTTTGTCATGCGGTCATGCGGAGTACTGTTTTTATATTAAAAAACAAAAAATTATTTAATTTATATATAAATTAGCTCGTGGTAGTTGTATAATACAATTACCACAATCTAATCTGTATATTGGTGCTACGAAAGAGACTTCTTTGGAAAGTTAAAATTAGAGATGGATAATCTGATATTTCGCCACGTGGTTTGAAATGGCATCGATCTCGCCGCAACTGCAGGCTTTATAATATTATTGTATAATGTATAGGTACTAACGTGGATGACAGAAAACGTTGCAGGTTAGAGAGGACAGCCGGAAACCGAACAGCGAACATAATATTAAATTTTACGTTTATGCAACCATATAACCATGATACCACGCATACCGTAAACTTGATTAAAATAATACCTTATACTATTAACATTATTACAGGTACCACATGTAGGTACTATATAACTTTTTTTTGTTATCACATTTTACGAAAACTGGTACCTATTAAACAATCGCGTTTAATATTTTACTTTTAATTTTACTTAAAATCGGATGAGCTAGGTACCTATGTAATTGTTGTTTTTGTTGCAGCTACCTCAAAATTTGATATAGTCAGTATAGTAATTTGTGGCTAATAGCTAATTTATGTGAATATTTAAAAAGTTAAACTATTAATGTATACACCAAGGCATCTATAATCTATATATATAGCAATACAAATAAGTAATACCTATAAAAAACGTTAAGTTGAAAAAAAAATAAGATTTCGATTGAAAAGAAATTATTGACGATAGACGTGCGTTATTGGTTAGGTACTACTATTATTAATAATTCAACTTGCAGGTCGTTTTTTGTACGACCAAGGGAACCCAAAATCATAAAAAATGACACAAACTTACCATGGCTTGTGCTGTCTACCCGTATGTACAAGTGTACAACAAAGCTTTCCAGGCACATATAAGACAGAAATACAGATATCCATAATTACCTATTGTTAACTATAGTCAATTAAAACACTTTTGATTAGGTACTCAATTTTAGAACACTATTTGCTAACTTTAGTTTATCAGTTCTCCTGTGTTAGTTTCATATGGGGGATTGAAATCCACTCTGTACATAAATGTATAAAGAGTGTTAAATTACAGCATAATATAGTATAGAAGATGACATAGATAATCAAATCAACATCCGCTTAACAAATGTTTTGTTTGTACAATTTAAAGAACTTAACACGCATGTTATCACCACCTGCAGCTGTCTGCGCAAAACTCTGCATAGTTTATTCAAACCGTTCAAAATTTTAACTAGACATAATTAATTACATTTAATATGACAAGTTTTTTTTTTTTGTCTACGTTAAACGACCACATTAATACTGTCAGCAGCCTACCTACCTACCTATAGCAAGCCCACCTACCAAAAGATTATACAATTAAATAGTTTTTCAGCAGCTGCTTTACGATAAGTGAAATAAATTACATGATATATTACACAGCGTATGGCATAACTTTTATGTATCAAAAAAAAAAACCACATAGGTAATTGTTATTATTACTCGGTGAACGTATTAAAAAATAAAATAAAAACCAACAACGTACTTTGTTGTGTGTACCTAAATATAATTTATATTTCACACGGTTTTTGCTATATTGGTTTATATCTTTATGAGCATTATTATTACAATATAGAAGATTAGGCTCATCATAATATTACAGACAATTTAGCAGAAGATATATTATTAAAAAATTAATCAACAGTATCGAAAACAAAAAAAAAGTGTTTTACACATCTTTTAATTTTAAAACAAGTTCAAATAAAATGGATTAAGTAATCACTATCATTTAATATTTAAATGAAACTTATTATTATCTTTTGTTGTGCGGTTGTTACTAATTTCATAATAATTTCTTAGTACTTGGTTCTTGGTACCTTTTATCACAGCTATCATATATTTTAAAATTAAAATTAATCTTTTTATAAATTGTTATTAAGATATAATTTTTTTTTTAATCCAAACTTAAAAATCTATGGTTGAAACATATTACGGAGTTTTAATATTCTTTAATATTAACTCTGCAATTTCTCCAAATTTTAAATAGTTATGATTAATGAACAATTAACCAATATGTTAGGTTAAAACTTATATCAATTCAATTGTGAACAAATAATATTATCTTCGATATACCTATTTGTATTATACAATGTAGACTACCATTTTGAAATCAAAAGTCTAAATTGTTTTAAAAAATAAGGGATCAAAAAACAAAACGAAAATATTTCCAGATATATCAAGTATAGATTGGTATTGATTATAGTAGTAGTAGTAGTACCTATTTAGTTCACAAGAATCACCATAATATATGAAAACTAGTACTCTCGCTTGTCTATCCATTATAATTTTCAATCCTGTGGTTAAGTTAAGTATTAAGCATTGATGAAAAAAGTTTTTAAAAAACGTTATTGAACGGAAAAAAACAAAAAACAACTGAAAAACGATAAAAAAAAAATCCCAAAAGCCGAAAAAATTTAATAACCAAACAAAAACAAAAACGAACATAAATTATACTTTATAATATTATACATTATTATATTTATACCACGAAAAAAAAATTTCACTTAAGGATTTACTTTTTAATCTTTACCAATAATGCACTTTTAAAATTTAAAAACATTTTAATTTTAAATCAGAAATTTTTAATTTTTAACTTTTAGGTGCATTTCTATATTGAACGTTACTATTATCAAAAATTAAAAACAATATTATCAAAAACGTTATTTGGAAACAATAGGAAAATAACTCTTTTAAAAACGTTAATCAAAAACAATATGCAAAAATAACGTTTTTAAAAACTTTAATTAAAAACAATATAGAAAAATAACATTTTTAAAAACGTTAATCGAAAACGTAATAATCAAAAACGTTTTCCATCCCTGGTATTAAGTAATGCCATAATTCTTAATTTTATAAAAACGCAATCCATAAACGTAAATTATTAAATGTTACACGTAATCACATTATAGTTAAACTAGCATTAGTTTTTTGATAAGATGTTACGGAATTCGCTATTATCACATATTTTAATTTGACAGTCAGTTTAAAAAATAAAAACTGAAGGCATAATTTCTTATAATATTCATTTACCAAGGAGAAATGTCGACATTTTCTACAGCAAAATAGTTAGGTATTTTATTTTATGTATATAATATTTACATATACGAATTAAAAACCAATATATTTATTTAGTTTTATATTCCACTATGTCTTTTAAACATAGTGTCAATGAACCATGACATTTTTGATTAAAAATTAAAAATTTGAAACACTTCAACATAATATTATTATTTATTTTACTATAAAACAAGAGTAAATTGGTTGGTAACCATCACAAAAGCACTCTATACCTATAATAACTGTCATAACTCATAGTGCCATCATAACGTTTGAAAAAGAAATAAGAATTTCACTATTTACATTAAATTGTTAAGTAGAAGATATTTTTTTTGGAAACTTTAATTTATGCAAATTTAAATTTGATCGAATAGTTTCAGAGCTACTAAACATTATAGGTACAGTTAAATTTTAAGAGTGATAGACAATAATCCTTAATAATGAATAAACCTATTACCATGGACTAAATATATTTAGTAGGTGTATCAAGTTTTATAACTGAAAATTACTCATTTGAAATGTGATTAAATAGACATCAGAATTTGAAAAAAAAATCATCATCTTAACGATTACAGTAAACAGTAGGTACTTACTAATGATGGTTCTCGTTATAAACTATAAAATATAAATTCTATAAGAAGTATGAAAGCTACTCGATATTTTTCACTTCGAAGAAAATTTATAATTCATAAATAATATGTATTAGTAAGACAATAAGTAACCATTAGTTTTATATATACCTACTGGGAATCAGATAGTTTTTACATTTTATTCTTTCTATAGTGACAGGTTCTTACCTATCTAAATCGATGTATAAAAATACTTTATATTCATATTTTAATATTATTTTCTGAAACACACTTTTAATGACCGTTGACTAATGTAGTTGAGGACTTGTATTTATAATAAAAAAAAACAAAATGTTTCCAAAAGTTCACAGTTAGAAAATAAAAATATCTGTACACAGCTCCAAAACATGAGTACCTACATGGCACTACTTAAATTTAAGTAATTTGTAATTACACGAACTATTTAAATATTTAAAAATATAATCTACCTAATATATTTAAAAATTCCAAAAATGTGTACTAGAATAAATGCATAATTTAAGTAAAATCGAATCGAGGGGGGGAGGTGATTGATTGGTGAATCACTAAGTAATGTGTATCTATAGTGTACTTCTATACTGGAAGTGTTTGAAACGTCGCAAAACAGTTAAGTTGACGTAGAATATGTTCAAAATTCAAATTCAATTATTAATAACCACACATCATAGTCATATATATAGGTAAACAAAATTTATACAATAAAAATTAATAATATTAATATAATATTTTAATGTCGTGACGACGCACTTGATCCGGTCGTAAATTGATGGTCATATTATGATACGACCAACAGGAAACTGTAATCAACCACGTTAATAGCGATAAATTATGTGATTATTATTATATTATTGTTTCAGTGAATCTCGTCACGTTTTCGTTTGGACTTTACACGGGATGGTCTTCGACGGTTGCGCCTATGCTCCAAAACGCAACGAACACTCCACTCGACCATGGTCAAGTGCTGACGGCCAACTCAATTTCTTGGGCCTGCAGCTGGGGTATGCTCAGCGCCATACTGGGCACGTTCTTCTGGGGTATGTTGGCGGACAACTGCGGCCGGAAGACTACCGGTTTCCTGACCATGTTACCATACCTGGTCAGCTGGGTCATCCTGTTAGTTTTTAAGACGGAGACAGCACTGATGGTGTCCCGGTTCCTGGGTGGTCTGGGGGCCAGCGGGGCGGCCATCAACTGCCCGATGTACGTGGGCGAGGTGAGCGAGGCGAGCATGAAGGCAGGCCTAGGTTCGCTGTTCATACTCATGTACAACATCGGTGTGCTGTACGTGTACGTGTTTGGCGTGATGGTTAACTATGACTATCTGAACGTGGCCTGTCTGGCCATCAGCGTGTTGTTCATGGTGGTGTGGAGCTATGTACCCGAGTCGCCAATATTCCTTATCCAGAAGAATCGGATGGATGAGGCAAGGCGGTCGCTCATGTGGTTCCGGGGTAAGGACAACGACAAAGAGGTAAGCGAGGAAATCGACTCTCTGATGCGGCACAGTGACCAGACGACCAAGGCCACGCTGGCCGACTACAAGAAACGTGGCACGGTCAAGGCGCTGCTCATCGGCCTGGTGTTCCAGGCGGGCACACAGTTCAGCGGCATCAACATCATACTCATGTACACGGTAGACATATTCCAGAAGAGCGGTAGCACTTTGTCCCCACATTCATGTACCATACTTGTGGGCGTGGTGCAGGTCATCGGGTCCGCGATAGCGTCATGCACGGTACACAGGGCCGGCCGCAAGTTCTTCCTGATGGCTACGTACGCGATCACCGCCCTGGCGCTGATCACCATCGGCTCGTGTTTCTATGCCAACAAGGTGGACTCGACGATTAACACCGGCATGTTGCCCGTGCTCAGCCTATCGGTGCACGTGATCGCGTTTTCGCTGGGCCTGGGTATGGTGCCATATATCATCTACACCGAGGTATTCCCTGCCAACGTGCGCAACATATGCATGTCCATGCTAATGTTCTTCAACAACGTGCTGGGCTTCGTCATCATTAAGGCGTACCCGTCCATGTCGGACGCGTTGCACATATCCGGCTGCTTCTGGGTGTTCGGCGCTGTGTGCCTGGCCGTTGTGCCGTATACCTACCTGTTCGTTCCCGAGACCAAAGACAAGGCGTACGATGATATCCGCCGTGAGCTGCTGCTGTGGTTCCCGGACAGGCGGCACAATGACAAGGCGTCGGAGGTGGCGAAGGCGGAAAAGGCGGCAGCGGTGGACCAAGTAGAAGGCGGCGGCGGCAACGTGGTCGTAGTTGAAGCTAGTGAGATGAAAGTCTGCATGGGAAAGGATCAGAGTTGCTTCACGACACCCCAACAGACGCGTGACAATGTTAAATAATAACCGACACATGGGTTTATACGTTCCTGTGCGTGTACACTGCCACGGCACGTATACACGAGTAAAGGCCACTACTATATTATTATTATTATTATTAATTATTATGTAGTGTATAATATCTATGCATATAACTGATTTATGTCGGGGGGAGTAGGGAAATGTAAAAAAAAAAAGACGAGTAAAAAACCCTACCTTTTTTTGTATTTTTTGTATTTTTACGCCACCAAGTTCGTTTTTTATATATTTATTTGAATCATTTTTTACGACAACCGTAATGTTTTGTATATTTTGTGTGTGTATGTGGTAAGCGAACAATTCGCATTAATATTGTAACAAGTATAACAAGTATTATGAATAATTTAAGTATGATTATAATTTTAAATACCTATATCTTAATTGTAAGTTTAAAAATAATATTAATTGTTATAACGATATTATATATGCACAGAAATTATTTTTAAAAAAAATACGATAAGGTGACAACATTTGTTTGTCTAATCACAGTTTTGTATTTAGACTTAACGTGTATAAACCGATTTACATATATGAATATTTTTTATATTATACTCAATCTCATTAAAAGTAAATATGTTTTTAAAACTATTGGAAGTTGTGACATTCTTTAATTATTTATAGATTAAACCTATAAATTGTACAATGTTGAGGGCCAATTTAATATCATATTATATAAACAGTTATTGTTTAAAATATATACTACGAGCAGGAAAATATTTTTTTTACAATAAAGTATAAACAATACAATTTATTAAACCTAAATTAATTTCAATTCTCTATCATTCAAATATAGTTTAAACTTTAAAGTTATTTATTATACAAATAACACCTACATTTTGTTCATAATATTATATAATTTTGGATATAAATTTTAATAATGTTACCACGTGTACTGTACGTGTACTGTTCCACACTAGTTAATGATTAATATGATAATACATTTGATGGATTATTGGTCGTTGACTATATCAGTATTGAATATACGAGAATACAACTTCGGACAAATTATACTTATTTAAAATACCTCTGAACAATGTGTGTCAAACGAGCCTTATTAGTCTAGAGACCGAATTTATATGCGCTTAAAATCTTGAAAATAAGATGCTTCTATGCTCTATAATTTCGTCAAAATTATCTTTTATATGCAAAAACATTCTTTTATGAAAAAATATTTCTTTTCATAAAAAATGTATTAAACAATGAAAAAACAAATGAAATTAGCAGCTTATAAAAATAAACAGTTATATTTAATCTATAATATGGTGTACCTATATTAAACTGTTGTAACACAAACTTATGAATTCAAAAAATAAAAGTACTAAAATAAAAAATAAAAAATAATTGCATATACCTAGTTCATTAACAGAATAATATTATATTATGTATTCAAACTCACACTTAAATAATTCAGCCTTATGAATCCAAAAAATTGTATTATTAAAAATAAAAAAATCATTTCATATAGTTCAACAACAGAATAATATTATGTATTAAAATAACTCCAACTTAAATAATTCAGCCTTATGAACTCAAAAAATAATAATAATAACAAGTTTTAAGTAATAAAAATAAAAATAAATTTTATTATCTATTAGATTTTTATAAAATATTCAAATTTGAACCAAATATGGCAATATTCCTAAAATATATTTTTTACACAAAATATTCTTCAACCTTAAAATATTCTTTTTTATGCGCTAAAAAATTTTGTATATCAGTTTATAGGTAAATGAATCGTCGAGAAAGCTTATCAAATTGGAGCTGCATACTCTCAGTAAAGATATGTAAAAACATAAAAATCCGGTCTCTACAGTTATTACTGATTAACGCTAATTACCTTTACTTATAAGTTATATTAATATCTTCATTCTGAATTTTTTTTATAATGCTGTTGTTTATTTAATTATCACATAAATATTAAAACTTAAGAACATTAGTAAAAAAGTAGAAACTAAAAATTTCAAGTCAATAAAAAAAAAAATGTTTTAAACCTGTTTTTCTATCAATTTTCAAACCTGAAAAAAATTTTAAAATATATGGATTTTTATCAGATTACAATATTATGCAAAACCTATTATATAATATTATTATGCATGCATTGTACTTTGTAAGCTTACTAAGTAATTCTTGCTAAACTTGATAACACTGCAGCAATTGAACCACATCTGTTCCAGTATGGCTTACCTATACATCACAAAACAGTCGCCAGCCGTGGTCCACCCACGGATCATTCGTAACCGGAATTATGTCCAGGTTTTTTATAATTTATACATATAATATACATACAATATTCCCGTTCTGTAGATTAAATTAAATGGCTTATGATAACAAAATATAACAAATTAAACTTACCCTTTTCCAAAAATTGTCTCTAGACCTTGATAATTGATCAAGGTAAAAATAATAAATACAAATTACTTAGTGAGCTAATGGCTGTTTAAATGTTTAATAAAAGGTCTACACACTATTTCGTTCCTGTGCAATGTACAATGTTTTTTTTTTTGTATAGATTATGCATCCGTGTATTTCACCTAACCATTGATTAAAATATTTACGTTGCATATTTAATCAATGGCCAAACATTTCTTAGCTTTACTAATACGTTAATTTGTTTAACTGATAAACTGAATAAACTACAGAATTGTTTAATCTATTGAAAACGAAAACGCAAATAAAAGACGATATCCCATCCCTCCGTTTACCAAATAAACGATACCTATTAATAAAATCATAGTGTGTTTGATATGAGAAAAACATAAAAATAATATAATATATAAATATTATTTGTTACTTGTCTTTATTTTAACTTGAACTTAAGTTTAAATGTTTCCACTCTTTTTTAAATATTTTTATACTTTTTTCCTAAAAATATTGAACTTCATAAATATACTTATTTCAAAAATTATTTATACCCTATGTATAATATTACGAAATATATTATTTAAAAGTTATCGTATAAGTTCAATATATTTATATATATTATATGTGTTGGGTCTTTCAACCAGTAAGTTGTATGTACAAAATATATATATATATATACAAACGATGGTGATTCAAATGTAACCGTAATACTATTGGAATCAAACACGTATGCAGCTATATGCTCTTCGCCATTTTCGTAACAAATATTATATGATTCGGAGTTGAATTCATACGAGCAGATAGGATATAATATAGGTTGGTACATACAATATCGTTACTATGGTTATATACTTTTATATGCAAATCGGTGAGTGGGTTAAGGAGATACCCAAGACTATCGTACCTACAGTAGTTATTAGAACGCAAAATCACTTTTTTTTAACGACGCCCTCAAAACGGAATATTATTAGGAACACGCCGTACACACCGTAAATATTACATTATAGGCAGCTGTAGGTATACGCATATTGGTAGGAAAACGTCATAATATATTATTATTTATTGTTATCATTACGGATGTACGAGCAATTTATCTTTGATGTATATGTTTGTGTACCACGAGGTACTCGGGTTAACACCCACCGGCTGCGGAATAGGCGTATTTGTCGAGGTAAAGAGAAAATCGTCGAATACTTAGACGTACATAACACACCAGTACCTATAGGTACACCACCACCGCCATCAGTTAGAATTCTATACTGCAGATTTTCATATATTGCAGAATATAATCTACTATAATTTACTTAAAATGTTTTCCCTTTAAAGTTTTTTTAGTAAACATTAAATCTTTTTTAATTTTGAAAAGTATTTCTATTTGAAAAACCTTAACCTAACCTATCCTATTTTCTGCAGTAAACTGTTTGTTTTATTTTATTTTATTTTGAGAAAAAATGTGTATAAAGGTTTAAACCCATTACATTTTTTGTGGAGAATTAATTTGGTCAGTAATTTTGTGTACTTTCCTAAATGCATTAACTAATAATATAGTTAAGCACTTACACTGGACTACAGCTTATTTCAAAGCTGTAGTAAATATAATAATATAATATACGCATTTACCAGTGCCTATACAATATAATACACCATATTATATTATATTATACATTCTTAAAAGTCATAAATATTGATAGCCACCAAATTAAATTTTGGCTTCATATTAGTATGCAAATCAAACAATAAAAATTCGGATGTACCTAAATATATAACTCAAGGTTCAAACTTCAAAATATAGGTACCTATACTTGTACATATATGAACAAGATACGACACGAGTTAAAAACAATATAAAAGTTTTGTTTTTAGACTACTGCTCAAATTACTTTTATTTATATTATTATAAATTCCAATATAGACGTATAGAGATTAGAGAACGCGTCATAAAATCGATTCAAGCATTAGTCCTGAGTATTTTCCAGATGTCTCCAACTATTTTACTACAGTCAAAGTTAAAAGTAATCTCGAACATTATAATTTCATTCCAACCACGCACTTCAGAGTAGATACTCAAAATCGATATTTTCGTATTTTGTTTTATATATTATGTATTACTTATATATTAAAAAATATACTAATATAAAACCTTAATACGTTTAAAGGAGTATAGTACTTAAAACGTGTGATATTTGTGACAAAATAATATTTTAAAAAACTAATTTCGTAGGTACGTTAAACTTTTTAAGTTTGTCGATGCCGTTTTTTTCAATTTTTGAAAATTCTATAAAATTCTATTTTCAATTTTAGTTACTAAGGTACCTACCTCAAGTTATAATACTTTTCTACTAATCTACATTTCGATACCAATTTAGGGAGGTATCAATAAGTCAATAAGTGCATTATATCTACGAAAATTACTTCACAGGAAAAACTCTTTTTAGTTTTTAGAAGAACTATTTAAAAGAAGAGAACATATTTTTTCAGATTGGATTAAAGGCCAAATTTTTATTTTATTTTAAATAGTGGTAAATAAATATAGGTTTGAAAAAGAATAAATATTGCGCATTATTATTTAGTTGCCTGTTCAGTGCCTGTAAATAGCACAAAAAGAACAAAAATATTTTAATAAT